GGGGATAAGATGGGGGGGCAGTGATAGAAGGGAGGTAGATTAGGGAAGGGTATTCAGAATGCATGCCATCTTGGGGCGTGGGGAGGGATGAGATGGGGAGAAAATTTGGAACACAAAATCTTGTGAAAGTGAATGTTGAAAACTAAAAATAAATTAATTAAGTTTTTAAAAAAATATTCTGGATCTCCTTTTTTAATTGGTTGACTTTCACTATCTTTTTGAGGGTTTTTTGGATTGTTCTTACTGTTTTGTTTTTCTTTTTAGTTTTTCCTCCATTTCTCTCATTTGACTTTTAAAGTCTTTTTTTGGGCAGACTTCTGTTTCCGGGAGCCAAGATGGCAGAGTGAAAAGGTAGTCGCTCTCACTCTCCCCTATCAACCTCTGAAAGCCCAGAAAATATCACCACAGAAAAAAACCCTGGAACACCTGAACTAGAAGAAAGAAGGGGAGCAGCAGTGCAGCAGCCCAGAAAACAGGTCTCATGGTGCCTCAGTAAAAATAAGGGAGGCAGAACCCACAAGGGGCCCCAGGTGGATAAGTACCCTGCAGCATTCATCTGAAAGGAGGTGAAGAAAACAACCTAAAGGCTTCCTAAAGCCCCAGCCTTGCTGGTTCCAACCCAGCACCAGGTGAGTTGTCAGAGTCCTGCAGCCTCCAATTGTGAAGAAATCTGGAAGCCCAGGTGGTAGAACAGGCAAACACCAACACCTGGACCTCAGAGTGCCTCAGTGAGGGTGGCGGGAACCGGTGGAAACCAGCTCAGAAAACCACCAGGTGCCTTAGCACTCTACAGCAAAGGAATCTCCCAATGCATTAGCAGAAAGGAGGGAGACAACACTGCAGGGGGCCCCAGGCAGATAAACACCCTGCAGCACCCATCTAAAAGAAGCTGAAGAAAGCTAAAGGAAAGGAAAAGCAGGCAACCTAGAATTGCCTGAAAGTTCCAACCTTGCTGATTCCAGCCCAACATGAGGTAAGCTGCCAGAAACCTACAGCCTCCAATTGACGACATAAGAGGCCCCAGCACACAAAGCCAGTGACCAAGACCTAGGCTCCCAACACAAGAAGCTTGGGTCAGCACCCTCTGTTCCCCAGCAGGAGAGCTCAATCTCTTTAAAGGCCAGGGAATAAAGAAACACCATGAGTAAAAAGAAACATACCATAGATTCATATTATGAGAAGAGTGAAGATCAAGACAGAAATTCTGAAGAGGACAACATTGTCAACAAACCCACATCTGCAACAAGAAAAGGGAATATGAATGGGTCTGAAGCCCAAAAAGCCTTCTTAGAAGAGCTCAAGAAGGATTTTCATAGTCAAATGAGAGAGGTAGAAGAGTCCTTCAAAAATGCAATTGGCCAATTGGAAAAAAAATACATTGAAGAAAACAAGTCCCTAAAAAACACAATTGGCCAATTGAAGAAGGAAGTACAAAAACTAACAGAAGAAAACAATCTGTTAAAAACTAGAATTGGACAAATGGAAACTAATGTCTCTATGAGAGAGCAAGAATCAGTCAAACAAAAACAAAAAAAATGAAAATTATAGATGAAAACGTAAAATACCTCATCAGTAAAGTCTTTTTTTAAGTTCTTCTATAAATCCTTTTTGGGCAGGTGACCATTAAGCATTATTCTTGAGGGTAGAAGAGGGTTTCTTTGCTTCAATATCCTGCTCTGTTCTTCTTTATCCCCATAATAACTTTCTATGGTTAGATTCCTTCTCCTTTGTCTATGCATTTTCTGGTAGCAATAGCCTAATTTTGGTAATCACCTCTGGTCCTTGGGGCAGGGGGAGGGAATGCTGCCTCTTGCCCAAATCTTCAATTCTCCCCTCTAATCTGGAGCCAAAACCAAACCTTCAGCCTCCTGTAAGTGCTCACAGCCAGGGGCATTCCACACCATTGCTTTCGCACTCACCCAGTGAGTTCTGGTTCCTTCTAGCCCCTGCCACTCTACACTCTGTGCAGCGCAGCTGGATCTGATATTCCTTGTCAGCAGAGGCTACCTTGATCTTCCCAGGTTCAGACTCTCAACTCCACTCACTATCCCAGGAGTAAAAAGTTCCAGTGGCTGGGACTGAAGTCACCTCCTAAACCAGTTAACTCCAGGGCTTGCCACTTGTTCTTAACTTGGACACCAGCCTGGAGGTGTTTACTTTTCACAGGGCCCAAACCTCTTCCTGGGATTTTTCTTCTGATCTCGGATTGTCCCAGGAGGACCCCTACTGTGCCCCTATTGTTATTTATTTTTACCCACCACAACGCCCCACATATACACTTTGTTTGCCCTGAGGTGCTATTTTATCTCTTTTGTGGGGAAAAATCTTGAGAGCTTGGAATTCTCTCACCTACTCTACCATCTTCCCAGAATCCTCTCTGCTTTTCAGTTTTAACCCGAGGGAAGAAATAGGGAGAGTCTCATGGCAGCCTCACATTCCCATCTTTCTGCTTTAGAGCCTAGGAATTTTATACTACAATTCTGTTACTAAAGAATAGCATAAAGAATAATCACATAATATTGCCGATGTCCTTCTTATCCCAATGAGATCAAAACCTCCGTCAAACCTCTCTTTCCTAAACTTCAAACTCTTTACTTTCAAATCTTTCATTAAGTCAGTGTAAACAGACTACAACTTTCTTCAAATTTCTACCCAGTTCATCTTATCCTTACTTACTTAAACTTTCTCTCTTCCTTTCTTTTTACATCCTTTTAAAAATGTACCTGTTGTTTTTTTCATATTATAATTTAACACTTCCCTTCTTCCCTTGCTCAATATTCCTTTAATCTTTATTTCCCAATCATATCCCAGACTATCTATAGAACTAATCTCCACTGAATTTCTTCTTTGTAATTTAACACAAAAAAATTTCTTATACAACCCCATTAACTGTGGTACTATTGTCGCCTTTGGGGTTCTTAAGAGCTTAAAACACATTATCTTGGGCAATTTCTTTTGAAAACCTTGTTTCTAGTTTATCTAAATAATTAGGTTCTGTTAACATCATTTACAGAACAACACGCATGGGTAATACCAAAACATTTTTCTAAATTAAATTTTACTTATTCTTCAGTTGCTCCCTATTTCAAACAAGCTTCTAGGAAAGAGCTACTAATAGGCAGTTCTTAAGTGTCAAATAAATTTAGACTGTAAACTGCAAAACACATTTTTTCTTTCTCTAATCAGTGAGTTCACTTTCTTCCCTAGCACTAAAACAATAAATCCACTTTCCAAACAGTGATAACAAAATCTAAATGTTGTTTCCATGTAACTTTCATAGTTTTATTCTTATTTGTCCTTAAAACAAATTCTACAAGAGTATTACCTCAAAACTCACTAAAGCATTTCAGCATTTATAAAAACATTCAAACCATATTTTGAAAATTCACTGTAGAGAAAATTATATTTTCAGTCACAAATTTAGTTTCTAATTAGTTTATGATATCATAAATTTCTGCAGACTGTGAACAAAGACTCCTTCTTATCTGTGTCTTGTCTGCCTTCCAGCTTGGCCAAAGTTAAAAGACAGAGACTTTCTTTCTAAAGAAAAAAGTTTTCATGCCTTCTCCTTTGGCTGACCAGGCCTCCAGAAAAAGCTAGTTTGGCATACAAAACACAAATAATATGACAAGATAGACACAAGAACACTTAAAAATCGGTGTGCACAAGTAGAAGTCCCTGTTCTTGCCAGATCTGGGGCTTTTCTTATATGTCTTAGGCCAATTTTGCTCTATGTTTAGTTACCTCCTTTTTGACTGGGAATGAATTTCTGTTTCCAGGCTTCCCCAACCCCTTCTTGAATGTGAAATATCCCTCTGGCTTGAACTGGGGCTCCCTTTGAAGAAAAATTCTCCAAGGACCATCTAATGACTTCCCTGAAGAGGCATAGTTGGTATGCAGCTTCCTTTTCCAGTTAGAAAAAAATCCTGTTTCCAATGCTTCCCCAATCTCTTCTTGCCCTGAAGATATACTGACAATGCATGCTTTATGCCCTTGGAGGGATTTCCGGGATTGCATAGCTATTAATTATTGCCAAATAGTTACAATAAATGCAAACAGAGCACTAAGACAAACAAGCAAAGTTGCAACTTTGCCAACAGCATGGGGGCTTTACCTTGGCTGAAGCTGATTTGAAACTGAGTTGGAGTCTGATCTTCAAGGTAGCCTCTTACAAAGAAGTCTCTCCATGAAAATACCACAAAGGTGCTCTCAGGAACTTTCTCAGAGATACTGCCCTAGAGGCCAGTGTCCCCTCTCAACTCCTGGCTGAAAGTACATCAACTGACCTGACTGAAATTAAGGTAAACTGAGGCAACAAAGTTCTGAGCATGTTCATATTGGTAAGGCTAGCAGTTACCAATAAATGGGGTCTTCAGCTCCTTAGCAAGCCAAAAGAGTCCTAGGAGGGGTTTACAAGACTTCTTCTACTTTAGGGAAAGTGGATAAAGATAGGACACCACATAGGCAACACACAGGATTACGTCATCTGGTTTCTACTGATGGAAGGGATGAGGATTTTCTTCCTTGTAACTAGAGAAAGCTGATTGGTTGAGTCCACCTGCATCATTGTGAGGACAGCTAGTGGTACAGAAATAACAGGTTTCCTTAACATAAAGATAGAACCAAAATTTTATAAGAAGACAACAACTTTAACTCAGAGATAAAGAAACAAAAAATAATAAACATAAAGAAATAATTTTTTAAAACATCTAGTCCAATTGAAGAAGTCACTAACAATATCAGAATGGAATGATGTTGACATCTCAGAAAATTGAATTGATTCTATTTTGTAATTGATATCATTCTGGATCACCACCAATATGTTGTATAACTGCTCAATATTTCTAGAATGCCTAACTCTAGTTCATCTTTTTTTCAAGATCCACAAACTAAAATATTAAAAATATTTCCTTTACAAGAATAAAGTTGCTAATGGAAAGAAACCACATATGTGTATTAGGTATCACTGCTAGAGATAAAATATCACAGAATAAAATTACCTTTGACAAATTAAAGTGAAAGACACGAGCATAAGTGCTGTTTTTAATTGTTATACTGGGAGTGACTCCTCTTGACATGAGCAGATTTAAGGTATTTTCTGCATTTTCATTAATTTTAACTCCAGATAAGAAAAAACACTGTATAACCTTTGGGGGGAAAAAATAAAAATATCAAATGTGGGTAAGTAAAGGAAGGGATAGATGGGAGTTTCATCTCAATCCATAAATAAGGAATAGGGTAGAAGGAAGAACAGAAGACTATACTATTTCCAATTTCTTTTGACAATGAAAAAATGACATTAAATGATGTTTATACCTGTGTATAACCACATTTTGAATCAGAGAAGGATCAGCTTTCAACAAAATAGAGATAGTATAAAAACACATCTACAGTGACAGAACGGTGTTCAATACAGCTATAGAATGGTTATTTGGATAGGTACGGTGGTAATTCGAGGGGCAATCATTCATTCATTTAGAATTATCTCTTCCCAATTCTAAAAATAGATGCATTCCAATACATTATAATGCTATTGTAAAGGCTAGGTTGAAACCACCCACATCTAGGCTTAACTAGATGAGAACACTTTTTTTTTTAAAAATCAAACAATCAAAACTGAGTGTAAGGCTATACACCTCCTTGAAATAATCAAAGCCATCGTGTGAGACCAGTCAAGTGCTTAGCAGTGTATTTTTAAAAAGAAGCTATATCAGAATCACAGGAAGAGATTCTGAACACCTGGCCTGGAGAGACTAGAGCAAGCATAGTATTTTGGGCAGCTTTACAGCAGAGAATTAAACTATGGCAGAAGAGGAAAATATTAACAAGAATCACTGGCTCCATATACCTCTTGGAGAGGAGGGCTCCCTCTGAGAGAAATACTATAAAAAGCTATTTTCCTAACTTCTCTTTCCTAATTTCTCTCTGTCCAAAGACAGTAATATAATAATCTGTTGCTTCATTACCCACCTGTTCCCAGTAAACTATAATTTTGCCTCAACCACAATGCAGTTAACTGGGAAACTAATTTAAATGTAAGATTAGGCAAAGATCCTAACCTCTGTCTAGGTATCGGGAATTTGCCTGAATGCTCAGAGTGGTAAAATAAATTCAGAACTTTTCATCTAAAACAAACTTCCTGCAGCCCAAAACAAGGGAACTAAATGGATCTTTGTGGATATTATATTAACCTTGAAGCTTAAAATAAGCTAATTTGTATAAGAAGGCATCACATTATTGATAAAAAAAAACACTACACATCCAAAAATCAATGGAGAAGAGTTAATATAAGCTATGAATATAACTTACCAAGTTTTCTGAGGAAAGATACAGCTTGATTAGATCACTATGTTCCACTTGTCTAGAGGAAGAACAGGCTAACACTGCACGGGAAGTTCCTAGATAATACATAAATAATATATGTACATCGATATAGAACAATTTCCACTAAGACCTTAAGTTTGAAAAATGCTGATAATGACTCATTGGAACTAACAGGTAATTAGTGTTTCTTTACTGGGGTGGAGGAGAAGGTTGGGAGGGGCTGTGTTCAGATCTACAGTTACAAAAAAGTGGCAAAAGACATTCCTTCCCCTTAAAAAGCTTACAATCTAATGAGGGAGATAAAACATAAACAAATATACACAAAGTAAGACCTATACACAAGAAATAGGAAATAATTAAAAGAGAAAGGCACTGTAATTAAGAGATGTTGGGTCCACACCCAAGAAAGAAATGTGGAATCTGAATGCAGATGGGAGCATACTATTTTCTTTCCTTTTCCTGTGTTGTTTTGTTTTATTGCTTCATTCTCGTGGTTCCTCCCATTAGTTCTAATTGTTCTTTACATTATGACGAATGGGAAAACATGCTTAACATGAATGTATATGTAAAGCCTATATCAGATTGTATGCCTTCTTGGTGGGGGTGGGGGAAGAAGTGGGAGGGGGAGAAAATTTAAAACTCAAAATCTTAGGAAAATGAATGTTGAAAACTAAAAATAAATTAATTATCAAAAAAAACAGAGAAAGAGAGATAGAGAGAGAGAGAGAGAGAGAGAGAGAGAGAGAGAGAGAGAGAGAGAGAGAGAGAGAGAGAGAAGGCTTTCTGTAGAAGGCAGGATTTTAATTAGGACTTAAAAGAAGCCAGGGAGATCAATAGTTGGAGTGGAGGAGGGAGAGTATTCCAGGTATGGGAGACAGCCAGAGAGAATGCATGAGGCCAAGAGATGGAGTGTCTTGTTTCATGGAACAGCCAGGAAACCAGTGTCACTGGATCAAAGAGTAGTAGAGAGTGGGGTGTAAAGTGTAAGAAAACTAGAAAGGTAGGAGGTGACTAGATTATGATTAATAATAATATGATTAATAATGTTTCACTTTTCCATTGAAATTGACAAAATGTTTTCCTCAAAATAACCCATCATAAGGTACTATAAGTATTTTACTTGCCTTTTATAGATAAGAAAATATCTTATATATTTGAAGTGATTCACCCCAGGCCACACATTTAGTAAACAGAAGAAATGAGAATTGAATTCAGGTCTCCTGATGCCAAGACCAATGCTTTCTCCACCATATTATGCTGCTTTGAAGAATAAATCCAGAACTACAGCTGTCTGAGAAAGATTCCCCTCCTCCATCTATAAGGTGAAATAATGATGAGCAGTCCAAAAGTCTCTCTCAATTAGGAATTACAGATACTGAGTTAGAAAATGGAAATATTTAAGTGAGCTTGTAAGGGATGGGCAGTAACAACAGTCATCCAGTCATTTCAGATAAATCCTTTATCTAATTCACATCAGAATGAGGATTATTTGGTACCTACTCCTCCCATCCCTTCCTCCACATTGATATATTCTTTTCACACATCTCAAGATTCTCCTTCTTAACTGAGAGCTTAAAAATAGCATCTGCCACAACCCGAACCATCAGCCAATAAAATTGCTATCATGGTTGAGGCTCATCTTTGGTAATCTGACTGGGGCTTTGATCTACTCCTGCAGTTTAAGCGAAAGAGAAAGGTGATGGTCTCCTTGATTTAAAAAAAAAAGAAGAAGAAGAAGAAGCAAAATAAATAAATAAATGACAACCACTTAGATCTTTCTTTCAGAAAGAATTTTGAGAGACTGGTTCTCCTTTCTGTACATATGAAGCTCCTGTAACACTTAAGCAACTTAGGTTCAGGCTCCACAGTGTGAATCTTATCCCATCGTTTCCCAGGAGGACCAAGAACCTGAGTGAAGACTATTTATCAATGTCTTTCTGTAGATCACTGAAGAAAACTATACAACTAGTCTCAGACCTCTAGGTGGCTCAGTAGACAGAACACTAGGCCTGGAGTCAGGAAGACTTATGTTCAGATCCAGCCTCAGATACTTAACCAAGCTTGAAAAAGTTACTTAATCTCTGTTTGCCTCAGTTTCTTCATCTGTAAAATAGGAATTATAATAGCACTTACCTCCCAGCATTATTATGAGACTCAAATAAGATAATATTTATAAAGTGCTTAGCACAATGCCTGGTACATAGTAGACACTCTATAAATACTTTCTATTATTATTATTATTATTATTTCAAGTTGGGAAGACGTATCCAAGTGGACGAGACCAACCAGAAATTCTTGTATTAGATAGTGATTATGAGGTTCTCCCTTACAAAATGTCACTGGTCTAGTATACAAAAAGGGGGAGGGGAATTAGAGACCTCACATTAAAAAAATCAATTTTACAATTTCATCATAGAGAAGCACATAGATCCACAAACATCTTACTTTAAAAAAAAAAACAGTATTTCAAGAAGCAAAAAACAAGGGCTTACAACTAAGAATAACTTCCCTTGAAAAACTTAACAACATCCTACATGGGAAAATGGACCTTTAGTAGAATAAAAGACTTATGTATTCCTAATTTTAAAAAAAGCCACAGAAAACTTTGAAATAAAAACACAATAGTCAAGAGAAATATAGAAAGGTAATTAGATTTAAGCAGTTAGAAATAGCTAAATGATGCTGAATTGCTCACATAAAGGAGAAAGAAACAAATTTTTCTTTGAAACCACATTGTCTACACAAAGGATGTGATCTGGTTAGTTGTAAGAGAGTGAAGAAAAGGGTGTAGAAAGGGAAAACCCTAACGAAGAAGTGAAAGAGGAGGAATTTTCTATTTAGCAATAATTAGGGTGTGTGAGAATACAAGTATATAAAAATGGAGTAATAGAAGGGAGGAATAGATGTTTCAAGATCCTCCCTCTTATCTGAACTAAAGAAAGGTTGAGGGAAAAGACAAAGAGACAGATACAGAGACAGAAAGTTTAACATAGAAATACATTAAATATAACCAGGAAAGTGGATGTAAGGGCAAGGAAAGTAAAGAAAAGGACTAAAGAGGGAGGGAATAGTCAGGAGGAAAAATAATCAAACCAACACAAATGTAAACTTCATAGTGTAAATCATAAAGAATTGACTAAAACAATGGAAGAAAATATAAGAACCAGAGATCAAGAAATGGACTTAGTGAAGAGAGGTAGGAAAGAGGAGTAGGAAAAGATTAGTTCAACCATAGATTACTAGTGTTAATCACTTTAAGTCTTTTTCTCTACCTCCTTCTGCTTTTCAATGAGAAAGATGGGGATGGAGACACATAGAGAAATGTATAAGTAACAATCAAAACTAAATGAGATGAATTTATCAATAACAAATATCAGCAAAATAGATTACAAAGCAGACTCCAACAATATTATTGATAAGAGACACATTTGAAAACTAAATATACATCCAGAGTCAAATTAAGTATTATTAAGCCTTAAGCAATTTCAGAAAAGTAGGGCTAATAATCATGACCTCAGACAAGACAATATTAAAAATAAATTCATTAGGAATTAAACAGGTATAGGGGCAGCTAGATGGCACAGTGGATAGAGCACCAGACCTCAGACACATAACACTCACTAGCTGTGTGTCTCTGGGCAAGTCACTTAACCTCAATTGCCTCACCCAAAAAAAAAAAAGAATTAAGCAGGTGAGCAAAGTGAGCAAAACTAGGAGAAAATTGTACAAAGTAACAGCGACACTGTGTGATGATCAACTATGATAGATTTAGCTCTTCTCAGCAATTTAATGATCCAAAACAATTCCCAAAGATTCATGATGGAAAATGCTATTCACCCATAGTTATGTATCTACCTAATGCCATATCAGATTGCTTGCTATCATGGGTAGGGGGAAGGGAAGGGAGGAAGGGAGAAACATTTGAAACTCAAAATCTCTAAAAAAATGAATGTTGAAAACTATCTCTACATGTAATTGGAAAAAATAAAATATTGTTAAATGTTTAAAAAAATGTGAAAAAGAGTTAAGTAGAGAAATTTAATTAAGGTTAAAAGTGCCATATACAATACAGTAATGTTAATACTAATATATGTACAAAATGCTATAGCAATTAAGTATTTAAAGGAAAATTTAATCAAACTGTACAAAAAACAGACAGCAAAAGTAGAATCATTAAAAACCTCAATGTTCCCTTTTCAGATACAGATATATAAAAGAGAGGTAGAGCCAAGATGGAGGAGTAAAAGGAGGTACTCACCTGAACTTTCCCTCAAACCCCTCCAAATACCTTTACATAATGACTCTAAACAACTTCTAGAGTAGCAGAAGTCATAAAAAGATAAAGTGAAACAAATTTCCAGCCTAAGACAATCAGGAAGGTGAACAGGAAAGATCTGTTGCACCACTGAGAGAGGAGAACAGTCCAGCACAGCCCATGCCAGCATAAACAAGGGCTCAGCAACTGGAAGAAGGCCTTAGGAATAACTGAATCATCAGTGGCAGCAGTAGTAGCTGCTTCTGGAGCTCTCAGGCCACAGACAGTAAGGGGATCTAACAATTGATCAGAAGGAGATTGTAGGGGTCTCTTTGCTGGGACTGAGGCAGGGTTCTGTTGCTTTGCCCATACCTGGATCTGGGCCACAGTCCTGGGGGGGGGGGGCAATCTGGGGTAAGGAGGACCAATAGCATAGTAGAACTTGTGACAGCGGGGAAGAGGAATCCTTCTCACAGTTCTGGGACAAAAAAGAGTGTTTGTGATCACTCACAGACCAGAACACAGGCCAGGAGAGGAGTAAACACCTCTCCTTAGATCATACCACCTTAGAAGAACTGAAAATGTACAGGTCTCTAGAAGTGCCTCTGAAAAGAGCTTCACAAAATCCCTGAATCTTGAAACAGTTTGCCCTCCACAATGGAAGCAGAGCCCTGCCTTGACAAAGAGTTAATAAGTCAAGTAAGAGACTTGGAAAATGAGCAAACAATGAAAAAAACTCAAACTAGAAACTTATTTTGGTGACAAGAAGATGAAAACATGCACTCAGCAGAAGATAACGAAGTCAAAGCTCCCACATCCAAAGATGCCTCCAAGAAAAATACGAATTGGTCTCAGGCCATGAAAAAGTTCAAAAAGGATTTTGAAAAACAAGTAAGAGAAGTAAAGAAAAAATTGGGAAGAGAAATGAGAGGGATGCAAGAAAATCATGAAAAATGAGTCAACAGCTTGGTAAAGGAGACATTGAAATCAAAGAAAATAACACCTCAAAAAATAGACTAACCCAGATGGCAAAAAAGATCCAAAAAGCCAATGAGAAGATGAATACCTTAAGAAGCAGAATCAGCCAAATGGAAAAGGAAGTCCGAAAACTCACTGAGAAAATACTTCCTTAAAAATTAGAATGGAACAAATGGAAGCTAATGACTTTATGAGAAATCAGGATATTGTAAAACAAATTCAAAGGAATGAAAAAATAGAAAACAATGTGAAATATCTCATCAGAAAAACAGCTGACCTGGGAAATAGATCCAGGAGAGATAATTTTAAAATTATAGGACTATCTGAAAGCCACGATTGAAAAAAAGAGCCTAGACATCGTCTTTCAAGAAATTATCAAGGAAAACTGCCCTAATATCTTAGAACCAGAGGGCAAAATAGAAATGGAAAGAATCCACTAACCTCCTGAAAGAGATTCCCAAAGGAAAATTCCTAGGAATGTTGCAGCCAAATTCCAGAGTTCCCAGGTCAAAGAGAAAATATTGAAAGCAGCCAGAAAGAAACAATTCAAATATGGTAGAACCACAGTCACAATTACACAAGATTTAGCAGCTTCTACATTAAAGAGTCAGAGGGCTTGGAATATGATATTGCAAAGGGCAAAGGAGCTAGAATTACAACCAAGCAAAAATGAGTATAATCCTTCAGGGGGGAAAAATGGATATTCAGTGAAATAGAGGAGTTTCAAGAATTCTTGAGGAAAAGACTAGAGCTAAATAGAAAATTTGACTCTCAAATATAAGACTAATGAGAAGCATAAAAAGGTAAACAGGAAAAGGAAATCATAAGGGACTTAATAAGATTAAGCTGTTTGCATTCCTACATGGGAAGATAATACTTGTAACTCATAGGAACCTTCTCATTATTAGGACAGTTAGAAGGATATATATAGACAGAGGGTGCAGGTATGAGTTGAATATGAAGGGATGATATCTCTAAAAAAATTAAGGGGTAAAAGAAGAATGTGCTGGAAGAAAGGGAGAGGGAGAAGTAAGATGGGGTAAATTATCTCACATAAAAGAAGCAAGAAAAAGCTATTACATTGGAGGGGAAAATGAGGGCGGTAGGGGGGAATGAGTGAACCTTAAGAATTGGCTCAGGGGCAGCTAGGTGGCACAGTGGATAGACCACCAGCCCTGAAGTCAGAAGGACCTGAGTTCAAATCCAGCCTCAGACCAAACCACTTGACACTAGCTGTGTGACCCTGGGCAAGTCACTTAACCCCAATTGCCTTAAAAAAATTAATTTAAAAAAAAGAATTGGCTCAAAGAGGGAATAACATAAACACTCAATTGAGTATAGAAATCTATCTTATCCTGCAAGAAAGTAGGAGGGGAAGGGAATAAGATAAGGGGGAGCAGTAATAGTAGGGAGGGCAGATTGGGGGAAGGAGTAGTCAGAAGCAAAACACTTTTGAGGAGGGACAGGGTGAAATGAGAGAGTGAATAAAATAAACAGAGGGTGAAATAAGATGGAGGGAAATACAGTTAGCAATAATAGCTGAGAAAAAAAATTTTAAGCACATTTCTCTGATAAGTCTTCATTTCTCAAACATATAGAGAACTGAGTTAAATTTATAAAAATAAGAGATATTCCCCAATTGATAAAAGATCAAAAGATATGAACAGTTTTCAGATGAAGTAATCAAAACTATCTATAGCCATATGAAAAAATGCCCTCACTATTGATTGGAGAAATGAAAATTAAAGTAATTCTGTGATGCTGTCTCATGCCTATTAGATTGGCTAATAAAACAAAAAAAGCAAATGACAAATGTTGGAGATGATAGAGGGAAAGTGGGATATTAATTCACTGTTGGGGGAGTTGTGAACTGCTCCAACCATTCAGGAGAGCAATTTGGAACTATGCCCAAAGGGCTACAAAACTATGCATACCCTTTGACCTAGCATTACAATACTATGTCTGCATCCCAAAAAGAGATTAAAAAAAAGAAGGAAAAGGACCTATATGTACAAAAATATTCATAGCAGTTCTTTTCTAGTGGCAAAAAAAATTGGAAATTGAGGGAATGCCCATCAATTGGGGAAAGGCTAAACAAATTGTGGTATATGATTGTGATGGAATATTATTCTACTGTAAGAAATGATGAGCAGAATGCTCTCAGAAAAACCCAGAGAGACTTACATGAGCTGATGCAAAGTGAAATATACTTTGTACATAGTAATAGCAGTATTTTAAGATGAGCAGTGTGAATGACTTAGCTATTCTCAGCAATACAATGATTCAAGACAGCTCTGAAGGACTAAAGACAAAAATACTATCCATCCCCAGAGAAAGAATTGAAGGTGTCTGAATACAGATTGAAACTTTTTAACTTTCATTATTTTTCTTGAGGGTTTTTTGTTTGGGGGGAGAGGGTTAGGTCTGTTTTCTTTAACAACATGACTATTGTGGAAATGTTTTGCATAACCACATATTTATAACTTATATTTAATTGCTTGCCTTCTCAATGGGGGGGTGAGAATTTGGAATTCAATGCTTTTAAAATTATTGTTAAAAATTGTTTTTACATGTAACTGGGGAAAAAATAAATACTAAATAATTTTTAAGAGACAGAAAAACAAGAAAGAAGCTAATGATTAGAATAAAAACTTTATAGACATGGTAGATCTCTGGAAAATACCTAAGGGAAATTGAAATTAATATACACATTTTAAACTAGTACATGGCACCATTACAAACATTTATCATGTTCTGTGAAATAAAACCCCACAAACATGCATCTCAGCACAATCAAAAATTATAATCTGTTAGAGGTATTTGAATAAAAGATTAAAATTTATGATTTAATTAAAAGACGTGATTTAATCCTAAAGAATTGTTGAGTCAAAGAATAAGTCATAGAAGTAATAGATAATTTCATCAAATAAAATTATAGAAATGAAACAATATGCCAAGACTTTGAGGAGGCAGCCAGAGCATCCTTAGGGGAAAGTTATGCCTGTAAACAATTTCATGAACAAACACAAGAAAAGAAACAAAGAAACAAAGAAAGAAAGGAAAGGAAAGAGAGAGGCAGGCAGAGGGAGACAGAGAGAAAGATGCAGGGGAAGGAAGGAAGGAAGGAAGGAAGGAAGGAAGGAAGGAAGGAAGAAGGAAGGAAGGAAGGAAGGAAGGAAGGAAGGAAGGAAGGAAGAGCAGATCAATGAATTAGAGTATACAACTAAAAAATAGAAAGTAACTAATAAAAAATTCAACTAAACACCAAAATACAAATTCTGATAATCAAAGAAGCAATTTACAGAGTTAAAAACAATCAAATAAAAAAAAATCTCACATTAAATTGATAAACAAAAGTAGGAAGGACCTGGTTTTGAAAAAATGGTAAAGGAGACTTTCACTTCCGGAAGCCAGGACTTTGGAGTAAAAAGGTAAGCACTCTCACCCTCCCCTATCAACCTCTGAAAGCCCAGAAAATATCACCCCAAAAAATCCAGGAACAACTGAAGCAGAAGAAAGATGGGGAGCAGCAGTGCAGTAGCCCAGGTAGCTTGAGGGATTAACGGGAAAGGCCCCACTTACCCTGAGGGAAGGGGAGCAGCACTGAATGGAAGGCATCACAGCCAGCTAGGGAAAACCCCACTTTAGCACACCAGGAGGAGATCCTGGTGCCTTGGCATTCTACAGCGAACAGGTCTCCCAGTGCCTCAGCAGAACTAAGGGAGGTAGCACTGCAAGGGGCCCCAGGCAGATAAACACCTTGTAGCACCCATCTAAAAGGAGCTGAAGAAAGCCAAAGGAAAGCAAAAAGCAGGCAAACTAGAATTGCCCAAAAGTTCCAGCCTTGTTTATTCCAGCCCAACACCAGGTAAGCTACCAGAACCCTACAGCCTCCAATTGCCAAAATAAGAGGCCCCAGCACACAAAGCCAGTGACCAAGATCTAGGCTCCCAGCATAAGAAGCTTGGGTCAGTACCCTCTGCTCCCTAGCAAGAGAGCTCAATCTCTTTAAAGGCCAGGAATAAAGAAACACCATGAATAAAAAGAACATACCAT